TAAAAGACCACTAAGCTTTATTCTGACTATTAGAATGGTTTTGCACGCACTTACGATTAAAAAAACATGATTTAATTAGTATCTGATAATTTTGTACAATTAGGATTTTTTTAAAATCAAATCAGTTGATCTTATCAATTTAAAAAATTTTGATCAATTTGTATTAGAAAATAACGATAAAGATTGCACAAACAGATCACTGGCCTAATTCGTTCATAAATAAGGATGTTTAGTGAAATTTTTTTCGTCTATCGATGTTCTCTTATTAAAGTTTATAATTGGGCTGATAGAAGTTCATACTTAAGAATTTTTATGCTCTTCTATTCAGAATAGTTTTCTTAAGATATTAACTGTAAAGTCCTTTAACTTCCCTCGTCAAATATTCTCGTATCTTTGTCATTATTAACAACAACGATGGCAGGATTACACATTGACTTACTTCGTCACGCGTTAGTTATAGTGTTATGCGGGTCTTATCTAGTGGGTTCAACATTTTTAATACTGATGTTTGTCCCACCATTCGCCTTGTTTGGTTGGGTCTTCTTGCCCATTGTGATTTCCAGTATTATTGGTAGGTTAAGTGGTTATGGCGATAATTCTCTTTTACTACCTAAAATTCACTTAATGACAAATGTAATTGATTTTGAATGACATTTAAGTGTGTGCATATAGCATAGCATGGATAGTATATTTATATGCGGGTAAGTTTTGTCGTATATATTAAAATCCTATGTATACTGTATGTCTTAACTATTTTCTTTAAATGCGTAAAATAGGTCAAACTGATAGATCATTCCATCTTCCCTACAATCCCAAGCGTATATTTAAAATCAACTATGCTTTCTTCTCCATGCTGTGGAGTAGTATTATTATGGTTATACCTTTGTTTGCTGAATATGGGTATTTTAAATTCTTTGTGTTGGGTAAACGAATTAGACGTATCATAAAGTATTTATCATTTATTTAATAATATAGTTGTTTATATTTTGCTTTTTCATCAACATAATGACAACACATTAATCGTTTTTTTACTGTTGTAAAGGGAGGATATTTACTATGGTAGTAATTCGAATTGCAATAGACTTGATGTCTATATTCCTGACACTTCAAAATACCCTCAAATATTTGATGCTGCATTTCATCCTGTAATTGTGTTTGTTTATGGTGGTTCTTGGGGTTCAGGTATTTTTTTGTTCAAAATTTGTTCTTCAGGAGTTTCCATTCGTATTTACAAATTTGTTTATTACTTTATAGGAGATAAAATATGGTACAGCTTATTAGCTTTGCGTTTAAGACAAATGGGATATGTAGTGGTTGTACCGAATTATACTTTATATCCTAAGGTGGGTGAACTTGACATATTTGGTACTAAAGTATTTTACTCGCGATGTTTTACGTATATAACATTGTGACAACTGTATAGGCAAAAATTGATGTTATGTTGTCTGACATTAAACGTACGTTGGTGTGGACAAAAAGGTTCATCAAGTAAGCTCACATATTTTTTATGATTCTTTTGTTTCAATACTTATGCACACATGTAATAACATTGTTCTACTCATAAAAAGTAAATTTGGTGGTGACCCAAATAAAATTTACATTATGGTAAATTATTTCCTAACAACAATATTTATCTTAGTTTATATTAATTATACTTTATACCTTAATTTTGTAGGGTCATTCTGCAGGCGCTCACCTTGCATCCCTTGTTACAATTCGCGATTCAATTATTAAATCCCAAACTATGGAAGGAAGAGTAAGCTCAAATCTAAGTGATATTGATCCGGAATTAGAACTTCCTAAAATTACTGGACTTATTTTGTAAGTTTATTTACCTTTAAATTTATTAAAATTATTATATTCTGTTGAGTAGTGAGACTTATTTAAGCACGGATACGTTTATTATTAGGATGTGTGGTAATGTTAAATATTTGTATTACATCTAGATATTATGTAAATGTCTTTTTGATTGTTTTATTTGAATGCATTAGGTGTATACGATATAGGAAGACATTATCTTTGGGAAACTAAACGTGGTGTTGAAGAGATTTCTCCCATGGGTCGTGTTATGGG